AGAAATAAGAAAAAGAGAATAAATATGATATTTAGAATATAAATATAAGATTTAGAATAATAAAATAAAAGTGAGATAATTATACAATTAGATAAAAATAATAATAATTAGATAATAAATTGTAAAAAGAGAATTTTGTATAATCAAAGAAAGATTATTGAATTAGAAAAATTTATATTACTATAATAACAATATAAATAAATAATATAAATAATCTATACAAATTATATAAAATTATTATTTCTTTTTCTATTCATATTTAAAATTGAAAAAAAAGATATATTTGGTTAATAAGTTATAAAATCAAGTCACAAGAAAAGAAATTCACATATTATTTTATATATTTATAAATAGAGAATATATGTGAACTATCTTAAAGTAATATTTTACTGATGATTTTCTTTCATATTTTCATATTGAAGTAGTATTTTTATAATATAAGATATTATTAAATCTTTTTTTCCTTTTAAAAATATTATTTAATATCTGTTATAACTTATTATATTTGCTTGTTATTTTTATTATTTTTATATTTTATTTATTAATTATATTTAATTAGTTAGTATTTATATTGAAAATTAATTATATAATAAATAATATACTTTTAATATTTAACAAAAATTTATTAATAATTAATAATTTATTAATTTAATTATTAATAAATATTTAAATAAATAATTAAATTAAAGTTTTTTAATAGTTACTTATTCAAATAATATTTATTTAATAATAGAAATACTTAAAAACAAATAATATATTTTTAAAAGATAAAAATATATAATTAATACAAAATTTCTTTATATTATAATACATAATATTTAAAATTATCAAATATTTATATTTTATAAAATATATAAACTTTTTAATTAAAAAATAAATACAAAATTTAATTTATAAATATAATAAAATAAACTCTTTTTGAATATATATATTTATAAATTAAATTTATATTTATTTTTTAGTTAAGAAATTTATATATTTTATAAATAATAATTTTAGATAATATATTATAGTTTTATTTAAAATATATATTAATAATAAAAGATTTAAATTAAATAAAAAAATTCTTGAAAAAAATATTTAAAAAATATATATATATTTATATTATATTACCAAAAATTAAAAAAATATAGTAAAACATAGTAAAATTGATATTATTACTTTACTATATTTTACTATATTTTTTTCAATTTTTAGTAATATAGTATATGAATGTGTATAAAAAAACAAAAAAAATTATTATTAATTTTTTAATTGATTAATTTTAAAAAATTAATAATAAATATTAGAAAATTAAGTATTAAGTAATTAATTTACTAATAAAAAATTAATATATATATATATATAAAACTCAAAGTTAATATTATTATATTATAATATATTAATTACAAATTTGTTTTAGATAGTTTTAATAATAAAAAAATATTATTATATAAGTATAAATATTTAGTTATTATTTATATTATAATTAATTGGATAATATTTTATTATATTTTATTAGTTTAATTTTATTAATTAAAATTAGAATTATTTTTAATTATATTTAATAAATAGATTTATAAAATTAATAATTAAAGTGATTAAAGTAACATAAGAAATAAAAATTATTATATTATAATCAAATTAAATCAAATCTAATTAATAACAAATTAATTAAAATAATAAAGATTACTTATATAATAACTAAATTAAATCTAATAATTTTATATAAATTTAATATATATTTTAGCTAAAATAAATATAATTAAATCTTTATATAGTTATCATTCTCAAAAAAGCAAAATTTGGTAATTATAGAGAGAATGTGACTATAAAGATGAGTTTTTTTACTATATTTATATGTAAATGGGAAAGCAAAACAGGATAAACTATAGATATATGTAACTATAAATGGATGTGACTATAGAGAGATTTAACTATAAGTTTTTAGAGTTTAAATTTTTTTACTTAGAATTTATTTTAAAGATGAATAAATTTCTTAAGTTTCTTAGTAAATAGAATTCTTAATATAGAATTATCTTTGTATTGGTTTTGGTCTTGAAAAATAAATTGCTTATAATAAACTATCTGATATTATTTTAGCTTATCCCAACATGAATACTTGTTATTTATCTTTAGTTATAGTTTTTAATCTATTCCACTATAAAACTTGATATATTTGATAGAAACATGTAAATAATATGTAAATATCATAAAAATGGTAATAATATCCATAAATGTTGTAGCAAAAAAATCAACTTTTTATTGCATTATTGTTGAAAACAATGATAATAAGGATCACTCTTATTAAGCATGGCAATTTCAAAAAGAGCTTCTTTCAAGTACACTTTTCTTGCTTTATGAAATTATTGGCACTTGACATGTTGGTACCTGACTCTTACTTTTATATAACGTGTATATATAGCAAATCATACTCTTAGATATACTAGAACAGATATCCTCATATTCGAGCACTAGCTTTTAGCCCGATTAAAATAAATTAAATTGGCACCAGCTCTTAACACAGGCTAAAGGGGTAATGTTTATGATTGTTAAACTTAAGTAAACAGATGTAATTTGAAAACTTATTCTTAAGTTCAACTTTATGTAAATGCGTTAGTTTATCATAGAGTTTATTACCTTGGTAAACTGGAAAACGCGTTAGTTTATCACAAGGTTGACGAGTATTAATAAACCTCTTGTGATGATGATACTCGTTCCATTTATATTATCTCCTATGGTTAACAAAGGTTGAACTGAATAAGCGTGTATTAGTTGTGTAATCTCTAATTTTCTGTAGTGTTTTCTGAATGGCGAAGTTAGAAGGAAAATGGTCGTGTAGCTTTATGCGAAAACGTGATTCAATTGGCCAATAGAATTACTACTGCTATTTTTCATATGTACTAACAACTTACGTGTAGCGCTGCCGAGTATAAAACTTTTTCGTCAACATAAACTCTAAAAAAGCAAACGATGGAGTCTGAAATAAGTTCAATTAATAGTTTGCGAAATCATCTGTTTGTACTCGGCGGGGGATTGCCGTTATTTGTGGTTGACTATCAATTTGAATGTGAATTATAAATTACGTATTGTGATTGATTCTTGTACACATTAATCAATGTTTGCGAGGGAAAAAATGGGTTACTTTTATTTCTGGTTACTTCACTAGATTATTTTTCTCGTGGTAGATATTTATGTTTAACATTTTCTCTAGATAATTATCGTTCTAAATACTAGAATATTAACAATAGGCTTCTATATACTATTAGTAAAAGATATATACGACGCGGACTAAGTAAGCTTTTATAATTGTAAAAATTCATTCAGCATTAAGAAGTCTTTCTTCTCTTCGATTCTCTTTCATATCGAATTTCTTCTTTTGTAAGATCAATTTCACGTTTCAACAAGTTGTTCTCACGTCTCAAAATATCATTCTCACATTTCAAAGCTTCCATTTCTTTTCTTGCCTTTTCTAATTGACTGATTAATTCGTTATTCTGTTGTGCTCGAGTAGAAATTCGATAATCTTGCTGTTTCAGATGTCTTTCTACTATTTCGAGGAATTCAAGAGTTGTGAATTCGGGCTGTTCTTTTTCAGGGTATTTTTGTTGTTGGTGAGGTGAAGAAGTAGATGATGATGATGATGACGCTGGCCAAATTGTGATCGGAGTTCGAGGTAATGTTGTTCTTGTTGAAGTGGGAGTTGGTGGTGGTGTCGTTTGAGAGTAATTATTGAATCGTACGCTGTTTAGAATTTGATTTGTAGAATGTTGTCTTTGAGGAGAATGGCTTTGTTGTTGTTGATGGTTATTATTATTTTTGTTATCGCTGTTATTGTTGTTGCGATGATAGTTATTTGATGGAACAGAAGTCGCGTCCTGTTCTAATTTTAATATGTCATTTTCGTTTTCATCCGTAATTGTAGCAAAAGAGTCATCGCTTTGAGGTAATAATGTATTTACAGACGGACGCGATGACGGAGATTCTCTGATATTACTATCGCTATTGTTATTGTTGATGTTTGTGACACCTCTACCACGACTATCGCTATAAATACTAGTAATATTATCGTTATCGTTATTGTCAGTCCACTTGAAGTAATTACACTTTTCCAGATCATCCTCAGTCCCAAATCTCGAGCAGCGCCAAAACCACCGACCATAATTTTTGCCGTTTTTATATGTTCGCCATATAGTTGTCGGTAGGAAGCAGTAACAGCTTGGTGGTATTGTAATTGTGTTAGAAGTGGGAATCGTTGGTATGTATGTTTTTCGAAGTGATTGCATTTTTTGAATTAATCGAGTACACTTGAAAAAATTTTGACGACTTACTCCCACCCTTATATAAACAAAAAATGACCGTCATATTATTTTATTTTTCCCACATATAAAAGTCAAATGACATGTGTATGAGGTAGAGGATTACTCATCAAAAAATTTTATTATCGTTATTACATAATTGTGATAAAAACAAATACGACAAACGACGCAGCAGGACACAATTGGGTTGATTGTCCCTTTGTGTTCATTAGCAGGCATGTGACTTTTGTTTCAGATTAAACATACATAGCGATAGATAGATGTCATGCACATATCGATATTCTATAATTTTATAAATCCGTAGCAGTGATAGATTAACGTTAAGCCTTTACTTCCTCATACATGTAGAAACTTTAAGACACAATTTATTGTTGTTTGAATTTCTAGGTGGCATACACCATATGAATGATTCTCACTGATTTTCACATGAAACATACACACGCTAATATGTAAAGATTACGACATTAAGACAAATATCTAACGCTAATGTTACAATGAATACCATGACAATGAAAACGGTCATCAAGTTTGTTTAATGTTGTTAGTGAAGTGTATAAAAATATTTATAATCAATCAGAGAATTTCATAATAGCCATTTCTACAAGTTGTTTTTTAATATTAAGGAACTTAGTTATGCAAATACGTATAGCGATGCTGTTACCGGGGCGGGGTTAGAGTAAATTTCGCCAATCTCACAATTTAAGCAGTGTCATCTACGTATTCAATTATTATATTTTATATTTTCTATACAATATTATATTTTCAATCTATTCTATGCAATATTATGTTTCTAATTCTATTTTAAGTCTTATGCAGTGTCATATGTCATATTTTTCGGTCAATTATATCTTAGATTCTTTCTGAAACAATCTCCACAATTATATCTTAAATTCTCTCTTAAACAATGTCCATTAAATTCTATCTTACATTCTAACGCCCTTAATTATATTTCGCGTTCTCTCTTAAAACAATGATTCTATTATATTTTATGTTTCCTTCAAATCGCGTTACCCATCATCTTTATTCTATCTTGTGTTCGATCTTAAGCATAGTACTAAATAGAAAAGTAGCGAAATAAATGTATACAAGCGAGGCCTAAAAAATAACTGTACAATTCTTCTCCAAGTAGACTAACACTTGTAAAATTACTCTCGTATTATTCGTAATAACGTTTGATGGTTATGACCTTTTATCCAGAAAAGGCAACGATTGAATGCTGAACCTATAATTTGGACGATTGATAAATTGAATAACGCGTTTGATTGTGATAGTTTAAGGTTTTTAGATTGAAGATGCACGTTAGGAAGTCCACTTAGAAATCGATATTGTTCGAATTATAAACTCCCAACTTGTCTTGCCTGAAACCTCGGATTCGTAATCTTTCATCATTCATCTCGTTGAACGGTATCTGTAGATATCGGCACAGAAATCGGAAACTAACATACATAATCGAGTCTATTCTCTCTCCCACCAATCGTTATAGGTAAAAATTGTTGATTACGTTTAATAACATCTATCCGCAACAGTAATGTATAAATATATAGTAAGGAGAAAGAAAAAATGTTAATACTTGGGACAAAACATCTCATGTCTCAAATCGCTTACTGGTGAGTTTCTATCATGTTTTAAAACAGCCTTCACAAAAGTTATGCATGCATTTTTTAGATATGGCATATAGGCAGGGATTTGGTCTTTGCTAATATTTGTAAATATTATTATCATTATATGTATACTTATATAATGAACTAGCATTATCCCTCGGAATTTTTTATTATTTTAATGTACGTATCATGCATTCTTTTATTACCTCCCGATAAATGGTACATAAGAATTTCGACATTAGTAACGGCAATAATATGATTGCCGAATATACAGAATTTTAAATTACCGTTACGTATTTATTCATGTTTGTATTGTCACGTGTAAATTGCTTTGACGTGAACTATTTTCGTTTTACATGTACATGTAATTCACACATTGATATCTCTTTTTATGTTATATATCTGGTAGTACATACTGAATTTTTAATTAAGATCTATCTATCGCTATGGTTCATAACATCTAAAGTCATCAAACATTTGTATTTTATAAAATGGATTTATGTTTACACCTTAGCAAAGAAGTTTATCCATTTTATAAAATAAAAATGTTTGATGACTTTAGATGTTATGCACCATAGTAAATTTATACTGTATAACTTTTTCACGATAAGCATTCAAAAAGACGAGAGGAAAGCATTTGTGTGGTATTTGAAATCAGCAGAAGATGGCAATGCTAGAGGACAATTTAATCTCGGTTATTGTTATGATGAGGGCAGTGTTGTACATTTTGGATGTCCAAGCACTTTTTCGACTGTCCAAATGTCCAAGTGTCCAAACTCTTATACTATTAAAAAATCAAATAAAAAATATATGATTATATACAACGAGAA